GAGTCACCCGGGCCGGCTCGACACCGGTCACCGGCCGGCAATCCTCCAGCGGCCTCGACTGTCGCCTGCGTGTTCCGTCCTCGCTCCTGGGCCGAGAAGCAGCGTGGCCGGCGGTGGCTGAGTCCTCGCTCCTCCTCCCCGGTGGCTCTCCTCGGGCGGGCCGCTTTTCCTCAGGGACCGCCTCAGTGGGGCGAGGTTTCCGTGACGAGCCTCCTGGGGCTCCGGGGATCGGCTCGGGCTGTCGTGGCGGCTCGAGCCCCTGGAACTCGCTCACCCTCCGGGGGTCGGCGGCCCTCGGAGTTATGCGTGTCATCCAGGCGGGTGCGGCGGGCGCCGGCTCCTAAAGGGCGTCACACCCGGACTCCGCCGACCGGGCAGCCTCCATTCGGCTCCCAGCGGCGCCTCCAGCGCCCTCTCCCTCCCCGGTCCGCTCCTCGGACTCATTTTTTCCTTTTCCCCCTCGGCCGCCCTGTCCTCCTGCCCGGGGTGCGGCGATTCTCCTGGAAGCGGAAGTGTCGGTGATGAGCCGGACCCTCGTGCCTTGAATTTCTCTGCGGAGGAGCTCGGCGGTGCCCCGCCGCCCGCCGCGCGCCCGGGATGGGGGTGAACGCGGTGCACTGGTTCCGAAAGGGGCTCCGGCTCCACGACAACCCCGCCCTGAAGGAGTGCATTCGGGGCGCCGACACCATCCGCTGCGTCTACATCCTCGACCCCTGGTTCGCGGGCTCCTCCAACGTGGGCATCAACAGGTGGCGGTGAGTCAAAAATCTCGGGGGAAATGGCTGTCGGTGTTTTAATGAATCGGGACTTGACAGATCAGCCCCATCTGAGCACTTCAACCCGGGGTCCGACCGCCTTGCTTAACGCCGCTTGAAGAATTGTAGCTGCTTCGGGTACGAACTAGAATGGACCGAATAGTTCTCTGGCCCGGGGGTGCTGGCAGCCGGGGACAGCCTGGCCTCCGAGTGTGAATTACGCGTCTCGGCGCTAATGGGAACTCTTCCCCGGATTTTATGGGGACTTCTCAGTGGCGGGGTTGAGGAAACACCCGCCCATTTCTCAGTGGCCCCGTGGGTTGGTTTCCTTGGCCTCTTTGTGGCTTTCGAAAGGATTGCGGTTTTTCGTGGTTACGGTTGTGTCCCCGGTAATTCATAGTTTTCTTCCACCTCGAGGTTGACGGAGAAAAAGCAAGGGAAATCACATCTGGTTTCTCTTTGCTCAGCTCTTCCTCTCGAGCTCCCCCTGGTGGTGGGCTGGGCGACACGGCTTTTCTTTCTAGGCAAAGTTTAATCCTTCCAGGGATCAGAGGCCTGGAGGAAATCTTAGAGAGGCTGGGTGATCTTCCCTGAAATGCCAGGCGAGGTGCTTGTTCGGCCCTCTGGTGGGAGTGAAAGCGTTCGATGAACAGAGTGATCGCCTGCTATATACGAGGCACTGCTTTAAACACCAGGGATATAGCAGTGAATAAAACAGACAAAAAATTCTTGTCCTTTTTGAGCATATGCGGCAGAAAGTAAGATATATAGTATTTGGTGGTGGAGAAATGCTATGGAGAAATATAGAGCAGAGAAGGAGGATAAAGATTATAAGAGGTTGGGATTAGAGTTGCAATTTAAAATGTGGCGATTGGGAAAAACTCAGAGAAGGTGGCAAGTGAACAAGGTGATGAAGCAAATGTGGACTGCGGCTGTCTAGGGGAGAAGCATTCCAGGCAGTGGGACGTCGGAGAAAGGGCCCCGAGGTGCAAATGTCCTTAACCTTCGGAACAAACAGCAGAAGAAGCCAATGTGACTGAAGCAGAATAGGTGAGAGGAAAAGTAGTAGATGTGGTCAGGGATGTAACAGGGCCATATTGAGTAGAGCTTTGTAGGTAGTTGTGAAGATTTGGACTTGCACTCAAAGAGAAAAGTGGGAATAATGGCAGGATTATGAGCAGAGAAGTGACATGATCTGACTTAAGTTTGAAAAAAATGCCTCTGGCTGTGATTCTGAGAACAGACTGAAAGCGGTGGGGTGTGCAGATGGACAAGAAGCAGGAAGAGCAGTTTAGGAGGCTGTTGTTCATCCAGCTGAAAGGTGAGAATGGCTTTGGACCTTAGTGATAGTGGTGAGAAGTAGTCAAATGCTGAATATATTTTGAAGGCAGAATCCACAGTATTTGTTGGCAGGTTGGATATGTGGTGTGAGAGAAAGAGGAACTGGGAATGCTTTAAAAATATTTGGCTTGAGGAACTAGGAGGATGGAACTGCACTTTGCTAAGAAAACGAAATTAGAGAAGCCATTGGGAGGGTGTTTGGAGTTCTCTTTTGAACTTGGTTAAGTTTGAGATGTTTATTACACAGCCAAATGCAGATAGCAGACAGGCAATTGGAATTTCGGGGCAGACAGATCTATGCGGGAGGTATAAATTGGAGAGTCATCAGTTTATATTTAAAGCTATTCATTCATTGAACATACATTTGTCATGCATTTAATATATGCCAGGCACTGTGTTATGTGCCAGCATTCAGCATAAACAAAACAGCTAAAACAAACCAAAGTCCCTACCTTGTTGAAGCTGTATTCTAGTGAAGCCATGAAACGATATGAGAACATTAAGAAAATAAGCATAGGTAGAAAAGAGAGAAGAAAAATATTGAATATCAACTGTAATTAAAAAATGAAGGTTTTTTTTTTAAAAGAGAGAGGAGATTCACGGGCTGAGCCCTGGGTGCTCTAATGGGTAGATGTTGAGGAGAAACATCTGGTAAGTTAGGAAGAAAACCCAGCAGAGTGTAGTGTCTGAGTAGCTAAGTAAAGAAAGTATTTTAAAGATAGTGTTTTACCTATAGTCAGGTGCTGTTGATAGGTCAGGTGAGATGAGGATGAAAATTTAAAAATTGTATTTAGCATTTTGAGGCCATTCATAATCTTGAATAGAGTGGTTTCAGGAGTGTAAAGACACAAGCCTCTTTGGAATGGCTCAAGAGAAGCTGACAGGAGAAAGGTGGGAGGCAGCTCACATAGACAGCTCTTTTAGGAAGTGTTGCTATAATAGGATCAGAGAAATCTGGTTCCTAGAATGCAATGTGAAATCAAGAGAGGATTTTTTTTAAGATGGGAGAAATTACAGTATGTTTTTAATGTTGATGGGAATGATACATCAACTATATATGAAACACATTAGCAGAATTAGTGTCATTAATGTTGATTCAGGGAAAGATGGTAAATATATTTTAATGTATTAATAATATCTTACAGTAATAGAGTAATAATTCCCTTTTCATAAGATTGTTAGGATTAAATTACTTAACAAATGTAAAATGCTTAAAATGTGAGTGGTAGTAGTAAATGCTTGTCAGTTGCTATTAAATTGAAAGCCTTTGGTAAATATCTAAATGTCTATAGTAAGTTTTTTCTAGAGCAGTTTATAAATTTATAAAATCTAGACTGTTAGCTTCTGTAGCAGGGGGATTATATATTGTTTTACTTTGTACACCCAGAAACTCAGATTGTCAAATAATGAGTAAAATAAAACTGGTAACCACAATAGAAATAGTCCCATATTTC